ATGAATTTAGAAGGCTCCTATTAAGTGTCGAAATATGCATAAATCTGCATTATACATATGTGCGATGTATCAATTGTTGCTATTCAGTATATTAATTATCTCCATTGAAAATTATGTCCAAAACATTACTGTTAGATCTGATATGATGTCTTTTAAGTGTATGTGATTTTTATTTTATTTCTCTTTTTTTTCTTTTATTTTCTATTTAAATTTACTTTTCTTTCATTACAGCATTTGCCTGAAGAAAAACGAGTGTTACGTGTATGGCACATCAGCCGACTTTGAAAGGCCAAATGTGCTTAGGAATGTTGTGGTAATAAAACAGCCATACAATATAATGCACCAAGAAAATAAAACCCTGTTATCCTTTTGTCTTTCTGTTTTCAAATCACTATTTACAATCTTTAGTGTTGATATTTTCGCAATTGCATAGCTTACGGAGAATTTGCGCCTGAAATAAATGAAACACATAATTCTTTCTTCACTCGTTAAGCCGGAAAGTCACAATATGACTTTGAATTAATTATTTATCTTATTTAACCATCATATTATTCCAGCACTTGTCTTAGCCGGCACACTTATCGCAGTCAAAAGTAAATATCGTTATGTCACGGATTTCACTCGTTTTTATGTCACAGCTGATAAGTCGTTTCCTGAAAACAATATTTCTATCCGGTCGTATTGATATACAGGAAAGGTTTACTGGACTTATAATAAACTGTAATAATTAGTGGAATTGAAAAAAAAAACAATCATGATTTATTCAATTGTTTATCTATTAAATATATAAATTAATTCGCAACCTTAATTCATTTCAATTTACAATTTCACCCTACGACACATACGTTCCGGTAGAAAATCTTCTCTCCCTTTGCAATCTATTTGTCACCATAGTAGAAAGTTCTCACTCACCATCCTCCTTGAATAACATACAGAACAGCGAATACAATCATCATAAGAGAATATATATGTTTTTTTTTCAAATAACAATGAATAAATGAGAATCCATCCAGTCATTTTTTGTTGTACCATAAATAGCTTTCTCACCACAGTGTCCCTCATGCACTTTACAGGGTACACTATATATGCCCAAAAAGCATTCAAACATGACAGTGAGTTGTCTCCTATCACTTGACAAAACTTGATAGACATGTTATGTCCCAGATGGGGTTAAGACACGCCTCGACTTCTCACAAATCGGAAAACAAGACTCGTCAGCATTAAAAATCCGTCTTGGGGTCACTAACCATGTCGCTGTAATCAGTTATCTCTTCTTTTAGCAATTTATTCAATCCATCTTAAAAAAAATATGTTTTTGATAACAATTGCAAGTTATGTGTAAATAATGTCAACTTTGAGCTTAAAATTAAAATAAAATTATAAAAATATGCATTTCCTTCTTATATTCCTGTTTATGATTTTGTTTGAATGTGGATGTAAGATACAGTCCATCTTCTATAAAAATTTTACTGAATGTTTTAAATGGTAGTTTATTTTGGTGTTAATTGTTTTGTTATGTATCTAATTAATCAGATGAGTTTATCGGTTTTTTTATAATTTCCTGTAAGTAAAGTTATTATTGACCTCTGACATCCTAGCGCTGCTAGAGTTCTCTCAACCAGCTCTGTATTTCTCATTCTATAGGCCTTGTACCATACATTTTCTTGTAATTTGTCTTTAAACAAGGTCTTCTTTCCATCTATGTCTAAAAGTTTTTTGGTTTTTTTTAACCAAAAACTCTTTTTTGCGTAGTGTCTCCTTAAAAGGAGTCAACACTGACTGAGGTCCAGGCCTTGTTGGCATTTTAGGAACTCGTTCCGAATGTTTATCTAATATGGTGGTTCTTGGAACCCCATATATTCTGGCAGCCGTTACCTTCGACATCCCATTATTTCCCACACAGTCAATAGCTGCCTTCATGTTTTATGGCGAGTATTGGTCACTTTTATTATGTTGAGATGACATCTAGAACGGAAACAATATTCTTACATGACTGTTTTTCTGTTTCAATGTTATTTACTTAAATTGAAATCTATACTTATTTTCTTTGACGTTGCTAAATTGTTTGAGGTAAATTTGTATGTTAAATGTTGTCATGTTAATGGTTAATGAAATAAATCATTTATATTCCATACATAATTACATTATATCCATCCTCTTCAATAAAATTCTTTTAAGGTAGTCTTACTAGAATACTTTCCCGCCAACAATTTCTAACATCGGCCAATATCGTAGCAAATCGGTTATTTCCTGAACGTTATTTCTTTAAAATCATAGACTATTCACAATCACTCATCTTTTATCGCTATGAACTAAATTCCGGTTATAAACGGTTAGACATATTGAATACTGTCATGATATGAGAACAGAATAAAACGTCTTATCTGAAAAATATAATTATAATATCAACTTACATAGCAATTAAAATATTAAACGATATGATGTTTTTAATTAAAACTATTTAATATATAAAATGATTTTAATAAATTTATTTTCAAAACGAAGAAACACATTCAAGTGTATAGTGTTTTTAATTAATAACAATTAAATAAAGCGACATCAAAAAGAAAAAGGTCGTGTTTATTACTTAGGAAGATAGATTTAATTTAGAATTTTATTTCAACTTGTGGGTACATACATGTTTATAAAATCATAAATAATGTCATATTTCATGTATCAATGTCGTACTTTTTTGAAACGACCTCACGATGTATTAGTAATTTACTTTATGTCATAATACAGAACTAAGTACTTGTTGAGCCGAATAGAGCTAGATACAAGATTAAAAGGTCCCAACGCCTATTACAAAAAACAGCTTAAAATAGACAAAACAAACGAGATGTACTTTAAAACTTCAAATGATTGAATGCAAAGTTTGTAACACGATCTGAATGTATCCATCAACTGGAGATATCATACACGCTATAAGAGAACTAGGAAGTTATAACTTATTGGATGGCGAAACAGGAACACAAATGTTGCAGTTAGATTATGTCATTGTGACATGAAAAGTTACAACCTAGTACTAACGTGTACAACTAACCTTGCTGATTTATAGAGGTCAGTGTTACAAGTTTTACTATATTTAGGATTCGTTAACGACCCGCATGTTTTTACCAAATCACGGTACTTCTTAGCGGACAAATTTATCCACAATAAAACCAATGTGGTGAGTGGCTGCATTATTCTGTTGTGTCATTACAATTACAGCCTCCGTGATCGTGAAAGGTCACTAAATTTATTGACTATTCATATCCAAGCGACAGCAGATGAGGTGGTTTTGAGGTGTTGCTTAAGGTTTGTAATATCCGAGGTTAACCAAAATCATGTTTCCTGTTTTAGGATTATATTACCTAAATTATGTTCGTGCGCCGTAAAACAAAACCAAAAGGTTACGTTTTCTTTTCATCACTTTATATTTGACTATACTTCTGAATGGCATTTCTCTTATGAACAATACATGTATCGACTCTCATCATTTACAAGGATTCGATGTAATAATATCCAATCCTTGGGTAACCAAATTCAATGTTTATGTGTTATTCTATTTCGGGGATTGTTGGAGTTAGTATTTAGCTGACGAATGTTGCATATTTGAAAAATTTGATTCAATGCTTCGTATTAAGTCTATTAAATTCAATATTATATTCAAATGGATTTTAATATGATCCATTCATAAAAAAAATAACTTTTACTTAAGCTTAGACTGATTATTCTATTGCACAGCAAAAGGAACAGTTTTGAAAATGTGCCTGCATTCGTTGCACTTTTTTGCAATAAACTATATAAAAATGTTATGAAATAAAAATATTGCATCACACAAATTGTATGGTTTGAAATGCATATTTTCAGAATGAGATATAGTCAGTGCTGTCTTGTTTTGTTTTATTATAATTATTTCATTTAAGGTGGCCAGGTCAAACGGATCAAACAGATTTTGCCAATTCTCCTTTTTATACTCGGCAATTCAGTAGACTCTAGGGAAAATGAAATGATCAAATGTTGTCATTAAAGACAGATCACCAAATGTACAAGTTTAAAAAATTCAAAGTGATGTCCTGAATAATGTTCTGTGTACCCTTGTTTGAATGTTTCAAAAATAGAACTTATGAATGATCACGCTGTTGTGCGATACTAAAATGCTCTACTTCTCAATAAGGAAGTGCACGCGTCAAACCCGATGTGTACTCTAGGGTGACATGTCAACGACAAAAGAAATAAGATCAAAATACTGCATTGTACTCTTCGTAGCCACAGATTTTTAAATGTGATTAACAACATAGCTTTGGTATTTAAATTAGAATTTTAAAAGTTTTTTCTTCTTAAGAAGGAGCAATCTATTTGTTTGCTTCATGGCATTCCAAGTATGTCACGACGTCAAATATGAAAATCAACTCTCATGGGTTATCGGTCCCTTTTTTTAAGATTCTGTTTAATTTGTATATCAGTTTAACATTTAGATTTTGTGGAACACTATAATAATTGTCTATCTACTTTGAGATGCATAACTTATCAACTTAACATAAACAGTATAATCGAATCCTGATTTTGCCATTTTTATACAGATAACATACTGAGTAATTCGAAGGAAAATAATGTACGACAGTCTTTAAACCATTGTATTGAGTAAACGTAAATATAAAATAGAATCAACCAAATAAATAGTCGCTGTAAGAGTACAAACTTGATTTTTGGTATTTTATACCCAAAAATACATAAAACATATCAATATATACTAAAGTAGTGCAAACACCGTAATTGTCACCGTTAAAATTATTCATCATTTGAAGTTTGCAAACATTATTCTTTGAGAATTTTAAATTATGTATTATCAATTATAATTTGTTTTCTTTAAAACATGGTTAATATGGCGATGTACAGATTTGGATAAACTTGTTAAACAAACATGAAATTGTTTGTCCTTAAACCTTAATAAGCTAAAAAAATGACGAAAACTTTGCTTTGTATTGTAAACATACATTATATTTATTTGTGACCATTTGTCATGCAATCTTTTCCCTGGTAGGCTATAAAGAGAGCTCATTGTCCCTCGTACCTCACATTGTTTTTCAGTCCTTTGTGTGCGATCGACTTGCAGACGCATCAGAAGATACAAAAATCATGGTATGTGATATAATCATTCCTTCAAACATACTTTATAGCATACGTTTCATACGCTAGGAAACATACGAGAGCTATTCAATTAAACACTTGATGTGAATTATTTTGTCTGTATGTTGTCATTTTTGGTGTTGTTTCTTCCTTTTGTAATTATATTTTAATAATGTTGTCAAATCATTTTGATTTTCATGATTGTGAACCCTTTAACTGATATGTTTAGATACTTAATGTATTTAACTTTGCCTTCTCAATATCAAATTCAATAAACTTCTTTTTTCAGAGGGTGACGCTATTCACCGCAATCATGCTGATGGCCTGTTTTATGAACAGTGATGCCTTGTGGAGTAGCAGGAGAAGGCGGGACAGTTGGACAAGAACTACTTATCCAGGACCAGGCCCTACTTATCCAAGACCGGACCCTACTTTTCCAGACTGGCGTTTCAAAAGAAGTGACGATCAAGTAAGTCTTCAAATGTTTCATAAAATCCTTTCCTTACATTGTGAATTACATTGAAAAAAAACAAGACTAAAGATCAACAAGGTTAAGGCAACGTTCACAGGACGCAGCCCCCCAACACATCTAAGAAGGGTACCCAGAAGGCACCAAACAATTTGTCGTTTATAAGATGCAAAGAATGAAACAGTATTTCTATCTTATTGAACATAGAATAAATTTAAAGAGTAACGATACAGTCGATTTGCGAAAGTCATTTATACTGTGCGAGATAGGCAGCCGTCACTGAAATATATTTCAAAAATATTTTTAGTCAACAAAATTTAATTTTAAATTAGCTAATTAAAATATAATTTCAAGCTCTTTAATAAATCGTAACGAGTAAGAATACCATTGATTTACTGTTTCATACTTGTCTGTATGCATAATACAACCGTAAACGTTGTTAGTGTCGTCCGTGTAAATCATGGCAGTTGTAGCAGCAACAGCAGCATGTTATCGTTGTTTTTGTGGTCTTGTGATCTTAAATTACATATTAACATATGTTATTAATTACAGGATGAACAACAACTATACAATATTGAACTTCAAGCTAATCCATGCGACTTCTTAACATATGATGTTGATGGAAATGGCGGAATAGCTCTCAAGGAAATGCATGCCATCTTTGGCGACAACAAAATGGCACTAAATCTATTCCTAGACCTGGATTATAATGGTTTGTACTATGTATAAAGATTACAGTAAATATATTTGTATATTGACATTTGCGCTGGCTGATAGAATTAAATCATAAAGACTGACATGGAATTTGCTCTACTTTTATTGTCACTAAATGTTATATAAGAGGTCTTGCGTTGATGTTTTAAGGTATAATGTTTGCATCCACTTCAGATTTTGAAAACAATTAAAAACTATTCTTATGATATTATTACTACTGAAATACTATTTCAGATTAATCATGTCAAAACATTAGTTTTAATATCGGTAAACAAAGGTCATTTTCACAGTCAAGTAAAATTATCTAAAACCTAACGTATATATTACATATAACAGTTAAAGACACATAGTTATCATTTGGTAACATATTTTACTTTTGTATAATTTTAGAAAATGGGGTTATTGAAGCGGAAGAATTCGCTGAGCAAGCTTCTCAGTTCATTAGAGAATGTGCTGATATTGACACAGTTGATGACCTTGACACAGAAGATGAGGATTAATGATAGTGTTAAACTCTTACTTAAAATGTTTGCTTAGTGTTTTTCCATAATAAGACGATAGAATTTTTATACGGCATTCTTTCCTTAAGTGTTTTGAATAGTTTCGTAAACTTGAAATTCTTCTGTAAAGAGCTTTTAGAAGATCATTGTTTTCTATTACTTTATGTTTGTATTAACTGATTTGTAACATTCTTCATTTTTGTTAACATTCATGAATGTGATAAATTAATAAAATCAAAGCAAATGATGGTGTTTTTTTTTCTTGTATATATTGTTTATGACATTTAATACAATAATATTCTTGTCATAAAAAGGAATATATATTCATCTCTTCTTTTATAAATGCTAAACATCCCATCTGCGTTTCATGGGAAGTCCTAAGTGTTGGACGTTATGACTCGTGACCGTTAAATAAACATTTTTATTAAGGAATCATGAACGTTAGACTTTTATTAATTTAAACTTCATATAAATAGTTAAGAAGTACAATGACATGCACCTTAATTCAACAAAAGGTAAATAATCATCTACATTGCTAATTAGGAATATAAAGGGTCATAACATAGGAATCAGGGCATTTATTTTAAAACGCAATATTGTCTTATTATTGTTTTGAAATAATTTAAAGCTTAAGACTTTGTGTGACACATATTCCAAGTCTATTACTGAAGTTCTCTAACTATTTCTTTATCAGTTTTTCTGTCTGGTTAGTAGACTGACTTTAACACATTTTGACATTTGTCGGCGATCGCACAAATAACCGGCTATCTTCGATATCCAACAAGTTACAACCAGTTCCTCCATAAGTGGCAATCGTCCAATCACACATGATTCCTGAGAGATGAATGATCACTAGAGTCAGTGTCCGTCATCAACCATTACGTCATCCGAGGATAGGGTTTAAACTTACATGCACCTTTAAATGCCTTTGTGTGCAAAGGCATGTGATTAAAAGTTCCATGACCATCCCATTATGAACAAATCTGTGAATTTTAATAGGTTTAATTGTTCCTTTGTATCTTGTTTGTATGTAAAATTAGCTGACTGTAGTGTCGCCTAAAGACTGACCTGATAATTCCATAATCAAAACAAGGCTGTGCACCTGTACGTTCAAGGGTATTGTCAAATCGGTCTCTTTACACGAATTACGAAATGCAAAATACGTGGTTGAACCAAAAGGATAATATCAGACGCATTAAATGTGAATAACTTAACATTATTTTCTTCATTCACATAATGTACTTGAAAACATGCAAAATAGTTTGTATTGTATGTATCTTACATGTTTGTGTAAAATTAACAAACTTTTATGGACAGTTCATATCATATGACTGCATGGAGTTTTCGAGATTACTCGCCACTTGACTCTCGAATTCAACATTCTCGCAGAAAAGCTGTGAAAAATATAAGTTAAATGTTATGTCCGAAAAGTGTGCTGTCCGAAATATAGCCACTTTATCTAAGCGGCGTGTGTTCCTATTTCAATGAGCAACGGAAAAAAACGTTTTTATGGAAGCATACTAATATTGATAAAGTGCTTTATACACGATTGCAAAATTAACTTTGTACCTTAAACGCTTAAGCTAAATGTTTTAATAAGTAAACTAAGACCTTTTAACACAATGGCTAAAATGACCAGATACAGTAATGGTAAAGTTTGACCGAATTATTATAAGATCATGATATAAAGAAGCATTCTTCAAAACGAAACAAATCAAATAATAGCAGATATTTTTAAGAAAAAAAAGTATTTAAATTATGATTGTAAATTGCACTGTTTTCACAATTGTGATACTTGGAATTTAAATCAGGAATGAAGTTGGTAATTGCACAATTTCTGTTTCCAATGATTTTAATCATTAGAAAAGAATCTGACAATTTCATTGAAGGTATTGATAAATATTTTTGAATATTTCTTAAATGTACTATCACACGACTTTTTATCCATTCGACTAACCTTCAAATGTGATACTTTTGGGTGTCTGAAGTGAAGGGATGAAGGTAAAATATGAAAAACACGATAATCAAGGAATGGCGGCGTTCAAAGAACGCAATCTCCACACGATCCAGAAACACAAGACCATGGACACCAAACTGATTCGGTGAATTAAGACTTAACCATTTTGTTGAAAGAAACTTTTAAGACAAGAAGACAATAATTAAACATGACCTTGCTATTCTCGAGAATAAATTGTGTCAAAAGTACATTGACATAATTGTGTCAAAAGTACATTGACATACTTATGTCGCTTTCTCTGTAGTAATAATTAAAGCAATACTATGAATTAATTCGATTATTGAAACATACAAAGGCTTTTGTTGTCAGCTGTCAGTGAATGTTTTCGTTTTTAAGACTTCCGAAATACACAATTGACACTGATTAGATTTGCGATATCTATTGTAGCGGAGAGAAACGTTTAGGAAAAGTGGTATTCAACGTACTTGATATAGTATGAACGATTAGTTGTTGCAATAATGGTTAGTTTTTCACGAACGTTTATCTGTTAGAAAGTACAATAACTTTGTTTTGTTTGGTTTTACGGCGCACATACACGGTTTAGGTTATACGGAGCCGAAACAGGAAATATGACTTTGGCTTACCTCCTGTGTTACAATCTTAAAGCAAAAATGACCTCCATTTTGGCAAAGAATTTTTTTTGCCTTTTGCCTATATGAGAAGGTTTTTCTGTTAATGAAAATTGTTAATTGTAAGTAAATGTTTTTCAACCTTTTTTATTTCTGCTTTTTATTTCTGCTTTTATATACCAACACAAACACGCACGCACGCCCACACAATATCAAGGGACACAGAGAAGAATATCTTAATAATTGACCAGCAAAGATTGTATTGTTTCTGTCAATGTACTCCGCCGGCATAATAGTTAAACAATCATAGTGAGTCAAGATATTAAGCGTTTACATTTGCAAAACATTCTCTGTACACTCGATAGAATTGTATTTTACATTCTAAATGTTTCAAATATGTGTATAAATGTATTTTACATTCCCAATGTATATAAAGTTACCATAGAAAAGTATTCTGTCTTGAGAGATTCCTTTCGTATTGTCTTGATAATTCCTTTTGTTTAGCATGTATAGACGTCAGTTGAATAATATTCAAAGAAACTTTCTCGATAACTACTGCGTTAATTGTAACATACTTATTGCTGCTGTTTTTTCTTTAAGAATTGTAGTGTAATTTTAGTGTTGATTTATCTTGGCAACCACAAATGAAAAAGCTATCAAAACAATAAACTTCTTAATGATGCAATATGTATCTAGCTTCAAAACAGCAGCTTGGCCTGAAACTTGGTCGTCAAAGATTGTGATATCTTTGGTGTACACAGTTTTTACTTCATACTTGAACTCAATGCTTCTCACTTCACCGTCTTTATTTCTTATAAATGTTGAATTGACAAACACTGTATTGTTATTGCCATCTATAAAAGCTGTCATGTACTCCCATGGAGAAGTGATTTCCATCAAAAACCTATCTTTGTCTTGCGTTGAATGTAGGACACCTCCGAGCCTATTCATTTGAATGAGCAATGAAGAATCGTCACCAGGTTTTGTTGAGATAGTCAGCGCAGGAAGGAAATAACTCCCGTAAATACCAGTATATTCTGATGGATTTTCTAATTTTCCAAACGGTTCTGGTGCTGTTGAATTTGTAGTTATATTACGCCAAAGGTCTGGAAATTCACATGTTGTTGTCTCGTTTAGCCACGGGTCCTCACCGATTAGCTTGTCAGTTATGTAATACATAATTGTACGGAGTGCATAACCGGGCAAGCCTGCTAAAGCTGGGCCATTAACACTGGCAAATACTCCTGTAAGTTAGAAAAATAATGCTAATCACAAATGAGTAGTTAACGATTCCCTAAAGAAAGTACAAAACGGTAAAATTGAAAATGCAGGCTCGGTTTGAATGAGCCTATTCATCGACGGTTCTGTCAAATGCAAACTGCCGTCCACGCCCCAAGCACCGGATTAAGCTAGAAATCAACATTTTAACATTAAAATACAATAACCATGGGAATATCGGTCGATTAATGAATAATATTCAGTGTTTAGATGCTGAACTATATTATGTTGTTTTCTTTTAAGAAGGAATAGTGTATGCACGTTATGCATGCAAAAAAAACGTTTATTATATAAAATAAGACGACCTAAATTTACCTGCATTTATGTCGGGAAAAAACCATGCTTGCGTGATATACGAAAAGAGTCCACCACTATGCCATATCTTACGGTATCCTTAAATATTAGAGAACACTGTCAATAATTTTACTGGACATTCACAGGAAGAATTTTGATGTTCACAATGATTGTGTGTCTTTCTTTTTTTTGTTAATTAACATCTGTACAAATAATTTTATTTTAAAGGCAGAAATAATTTCTCTAGAACATGTCAAGCAATAACGGTGTGGTTTTTACAATCACCAAAGCTTATTTACTATGTATATGTTATATAAAATGCTCACTTTACAGTCTAAATATTAAGTTATTATAAAATGATTATATTTTCGCAAATTACTCCAATGAGCTTTTTGCATTATTTAAACTCGTCATAATGCAAATAACGTCTTGAAGCCTGCTAAAATCACTCATAAATGTAAAGAATTTACATGAATTACTTTATATTTAATGTCCAAAACAATTTGCACTTAACAACCTTACCTCGGTATGTAGCGGAAAACCAAGCATGTCCATAACCTTGAGGTGTTTCTGATATTGGAAATTCTGGTCGAGTAAGATAGTAACTATCTAAGAAACTTTTGTCCACTGTAGGGGTAGTTGCTGAAAAAGTATATGACATATACAATTGTATCATAGTTTGGGGACCTTTCTGTTGAAAATGTGACATTAGTTAAATCGTGTATATATATACAATTTAATTAACTCGGACACATTTTCAACAGAAAGGTCCCCAAACTATGATACAATAATATCATAACTCAATATAAACTTTAATATACATTCCCCTAGACCTGTTATGTATCCTTAACCTCATTGAGTATATTCTCCGTGTATAATCTAGGGCACATAACTGCTACATGCCTCTGTATTTAGTATCATACTAGTAAACTCCCGTAGGAAGATAATAAAGCACAGCAGAACCAAAAAGGCTGTGTGTTAGTATTTCTTTAACAGTGTATGAATCTCATATTGTAGTCATTAGGTTTTTCGGTATACTAAAATAAATAAAAATATGAACGTCGGGATGATAGCGTTTATTGTTAACCCTTGAGCCATGGCTACCTTTCGCGGTAAGATACCAGAACTCGGGTTGTATATTATCCACTACAACCACGAAAAACATGTGTTATTTATTTCATAAATGTCGAAGGACTTTTTACCAGTGTATGCCTCGAAGAGAAGTATGGGATTCAGGAGTGTTTTTCCATCTTCAGTAGTTCCGTCTTTTAGGTGAAACCGGAGATATTTTGCCATGTCTTCTCCAGTCGATAAAATTGCACCGGCAGGCTCGGCCGGGTAAATGCTAAAATAGACAAAAAACTCTTTAAGAGGAAAGGTTTACAAAGGCCACATTATCCATACATTATTTCAAATATTTATAAAGAAATAAAATGTATCAATCAGATATTCTTATAAAACATTGCTTGAAAAACAAAAGTGGAAGAAAAAGTTCTAATTATTATATATGAACATTAATATGATGAATAATATTATCTTGTCGTATGACATTTTATTATCTGCTATCTACATATAATAATGCTATTTCAGATCATGCAACATCCATATTATATTCTTGTGTTGTTTGTTGTTATGACTGATACTAAATACTATCAGGTTTATTATTTACAAACCTTCACTAAATTCTACCAGGTTTATTACTTACAAACCTTTACTGAATACTATCAGGTTTATTATTTACAAACCTTCACTGAATACTATCAGGTTTATTATTTACAGACCTTCACTAAATACTATCAGGTTTATTATTTACAGACCTTCACTAAATACTATCAGGTATATTATTTTCAGACCTTCACTAAATACTACCAGGTTTATTATTTACAAACCTTCACTAAATACTATCAGGTTTATTATTTACAAACCTTCACTGAATACTATCAGGTTTATTATTTACAGACCTTCACTAAATACTATCAGGTTTATTATTTACAGACCTTCACTAAATACTACCATGTTTATTATTTACAGACCTTCACTAAATACTATCAGGTTTATTATTTACAGACCTTCACTGAATACTATCAGGTTTATTATTTACAGACCTTCACTAAATACTATCAGGTTTATTATTTACAAACCTTCACGAAATACTATCAGGTTTATTATTTACAAACCTTCACTAAATAATATCAGGTTTAATATTTACAAACCTTCACTAAATACTATCAGGTTTATTATTTACAGACCTTCACTAAAAACTAACAGGTTTATTATTTACAAACCTTCACTAAATACTACCAGGTTTATTATTTACAGACCTTCACTAAATACTATCAGGTTTATTATTTACAAACCTTCACTAAATACTACCAGGTTTATTATTTACAGACCTTCACTAAATACTATCAGGTTTATTATTTACAAACCTTCACTAAATACTACCATGTTTATTATTTACAGACCTTCACTAAATACTATCAGGTTTATTATTTACAGACCTTCACTAAATACTACCAGGTTTATTATTTACAGACCTTCACTAAATACTATCAGGTTTATTATTTACAAACCTTCACTGAATACTATCAGATTTATTATTTACAAACCTTCACTAAATACTACCAGGTTTATTATTTACAAACCTTCACTAAATACTATCAGGTTTATTATTTACAGACCTTCCATTATAGACCAATTTACTTTAAAGAACCTGTAACACATTTTTTATGGTTTAAAATCATAAAAATGATGCTCAAATTAAGATTTATCAATATTGTAAGTTCCAAAAAAGCATTATAAAGATATTACCGAATTTAACATTTCATGTAAATAAAGGGAGGTAATTAAAATTTAATTTTCAATAAAGTTTAAGTCAAATTTTAACAAGAAATGAATGCATATATTTTAATGATTACATATAATATGCACCAATATTCGCAGTACATATTTTACATATTCTTTGATGTTTGAAAATTGTTTTATTTGCATAATTATGTAATCTGATCAGGGTCCATGCTGTTCGCTTACAGGCCCTATAACAAGTAAGGAAACTGATAGCGAACAGGATGGATCCTGATCAGACTGCGCGGATGCGCAGGTCGGTCTTGATCCAGGCTGGTCGCAAACCCATTATGCTGGTTTTGTCATAACGCGGCTCATATAACGTATCTTTTTTCAAATTATGATAACTTAATATTTCTAAAAAAAATAGATATCCGTTCATACATTTTAGAAGAAAAAGAAAATATGACTGTAATGTATACTAACATTAAATTGCAATAATTTTATATTTTTCAAATAAAAGGAGTAAACGTTCATACATTTTACAAGAAAAAGAAAATGTAAATCAAATCTTTAATTGAATTGGAGTAAGATAATTTTATATTTTTCAAATAAAAAGGATATCCGTTCATACTTTTTACAAGAAAATTAAGTTCAATATATAATAAAGTTAGTTGTCTTCGGGTCAAAATTAATATGACTTAAACTTAACACGTCTTAAATGTCATATATCTCATAAGTACGAAAGACCGGTGGTAACACTTCTTGAATTATCGGATTCATTTTCACGAATACACGATCTCAACTTAAAAAAATCAAACTTTCAACTTTTTGCGCCAATTCACACGCGCGAATCATGAATTCGTGAAGCTAAAATTGTGATTCATGAAGCTGAAATCGTGAGTTCATAAAGTTGAAATCGTGAATTCATGAAGTTGAAATCATGCAGTCGAGAAGTTGAAATCTTGAAGTCATGAAGCTGAAAACGTGAATTCATAAAGTTGAAATCGTGAATTCATGAAGCTGAAATCATGCAGCCGTGAAATTGAAATTGAGAACTCACAAAATTGAAATCGTTAAGTTAAAATCGTGAATTCTATATGTTAAAAACGTGAATTCACGAAGTTAAAACGGTGAATTCACGAAGATGAAAATTGGAATTCATGAAGTTGAAATATCCAAGCCGGTCTGTCGTATTTTAAAAAAAAACATTATTCTTAAACTGAAAAGGTATTTGTTATGATAATAAATAAGATGTTTATAATAAACTAAGCTTTCTGATATTGCTATTAGGTAAATATGTGTACTGTCATTGTACATAAAGGACCATTGAAAAAAGAAGTTGAAATTTAAATAATTGTGAACTGGATATGAGGTACCGTTTTAAACCACCTGTGTTGTTCACTATCCACTTCAACAGTTATTAAAATAAAGGTTTTGTGAGCATGAACAATGTTTACATAGAACAAACATACCTGTAAATATCAAGTGTGCCATTTTGAAATTCATTATCATTGAATATATATGGTTTAGCAACGTTATCTTTCAACACATCCTCTGGTTGTTTGAGTACTTGAGTGGATGTCATTCCAATAGGCAATAACACCTTAGATTTCAAAAGATTTTCCCAGGTATCTTCACCTAATTTTTCTGCTATATGTCCGAGATACATAAACATGAAGTTATTGTAGAGAAATCTGTCTCGAAAAGGCAATAGTTGAGGTAAATACTTCATCTTCCTGCAATACATTTTTGTGACATTAGAATCCAAGATTTATCGTGTTTTATAGAAGAAGATTCTTTATTATTAATATACAGTAAATCACATATTACCGTTGAGCATTACATTAATAAAAATACAATCAATTAAATCATATACGGTAACATGGATAATTATTGAATATACATGTATGCACACATAAATAATTTCTTTAAATAAATAGGTTTGCTAATAATACTTGTATCATTTTATATTGATATCGATGTTTTTGTTGTTATATAAACTACGGTATTTTTATAACATACATGAACATGTCTCACAAAAAATGACAAAAACACGCAATATTTTCTAGTATGTTTTTATCATAAAATGTAAACATTGATTTTGTGCGATTCGATTAAAGGCCAACGTAAGTGACCTCAATTCTTAAGAAAATAAGCATTCTAGAGCTTGTTAAAAAGCAACATTATAATTTGTAAAGCTCTTTTTTACAAAAACTCTGGATATTAACTTTTTATATAAATAAATTTACATATACATGTATACTATAACAAGGGATTTTATGATACATGTACATGTATATAACTTCTGTGGAGAAAAAATCATTTCTCGTGAAATTTATTCAATAACAGATTAATATTAATACCGACTGCAACCTTTTTACTTGTAAGCGAGCGAAAATAATTTTCAGACCGTATGACCCTTATGACATTTTGAAACTAAGGCTTATAACTGTTGCTTTTATCTGTAACTTAAACCATGTAATGATTGCCTTCTTCCAACATATATGTATAGTATGTTATCAATAAGTGATGTAAATACTGAATTTTCACAATCATAAAATAACATGCACGACACATTTATGTCCCGATGACATTCCGATATGGATTTGTCGTCATACTACCATATTATATTCATATATAATCGGTTTAACAAACAAAAGAATACTATTGACCAGCTAAAAGTATACTCACATACTTAGCTGTGCCCTTGATAAACTTTTTGGAAAACCAGAAAACAAACCAATATCAAGACGAGCCAGTCCCGTCCGATGTGACAACAAGTCTCTGAGTGTTGTTTCTTTGCTTCTATATTCGTCTATAAATTCGTAGTCTGATCCAAGTATATCGTGCACTTTTGTATCCCAATCTAATCTGAAAGTGTTTAAAGCAATATCTGTAGTTTTCTTAATCTAATGGTCGTTTTAAAAAAAAATCATGTACCATTAAATGTGTGCGTAATTTAATTTACACGTCAAATATTGTACTTGAACATAATAAAATGTAAAATATCCGGACAAAATATTCTGCTGCTTCTTTTAATGGGTTTGGTGATGACTTAATGCATTACCTGCATGCTTTTTATAAAGAAAATCATTTCAGATATTAGATATTCAGTAATCAATTAGATAATAACAGAAACAAACTTTTACAATTTACAAACAACAGCGATATAGCTTTATACACTTTAAATCAAACAATAAACTTTTTCATCATTGCTGTTAAATTCAAATTCACTAGTCCGAGGGTGAGTATTTAAGGTCGTTGACTTCAAACAACTTGGCCTCAACAGCTGTAGGTTCGAATCCCGCCAGGGAATTTTTAATCTTTCACGTGGGTAAGGTATCAAACTGGCTTACAGAACGTCACAATGTTAATGCATGAACTTATGCATGGAGGGGCTCCTAAGGTATTCCTACACCAGAAAACTGTACATTCATATTTTGACCTCTAATATGTTGGTCTGACGTAACAAAACCCAATGAATTGTATAGAAATCGTTTTATTGTAGTTGAAAATACATTGACTGAACCGTTCATATACCTTTGTATATTTCAGTTATATGTGAATAAAAGTTCTGTCAAATGTCCCTTATATTGTTCAATATAATCAAATGAATTAAAAGGAAAATTAACTCAAATATCAACCCTGCTGGCAATAACCATCCTTACCCCTTTTCTGTCAGTAGAATACCGAGAAGGACCATTGTAAATGATTTGGTAACCGAACCAATACCGAACAGTGTAGTGTTGTCAACCATACGTCCATTCGAGAAGTCGGCTGTTCCGTAACCCTTAGCCCAAATTTTTGAATCTTTTTAAGTAAATTATAAATAATAACTGATAATAACAAATAAAAGATTTATGAGTAATTGCGTATGATATCGTTTTTCATTAAAAGTATATATAAAAATGTATATTTGCTAGCACAGTGCAGAAACTTTTAATGCCTAAAGCCTTTACTTAATAATTCAATGGTGAAGCTTAAAGGAAATATTCATAATAATATAGTTTAATACTGTAGTGTAATACCTATAAATGCGTCATTTTTATTCGTTCAAAGTACCTTGTCTTAAATATACATGCAACCATAACTCCAATAAAATGATAACTATGTTAAATTAAACTGAATCTTCAACATTTTCAATTTGGCTTAGTAGTTCACATCGTTCTCTATGGTTTCTATATTTTTAATATTATTCTGTGTGAATCAAACTAATAAAATAGAGACGAAAAATAAAAAACGAAAATCGTACAAATCCGAAAATTAAAAGGAATCATTATCTATTCGGTTTGATTCAACCTTTTTATTAAGGGCATTGGCAAGTGCAAGTTCATCATTCATTTTCCTCTTTCTTTGTATAAAACTCGCAAGGCTGAGCTAAATGATACAACCGCAACAGCTATTGTAATGTAACACGAGAATCGGAAACAAAATGAAATACCTTTAACAACAGATAGTGTCAATCCAGGGATGTGTCGGCATTCCATTGTCTTCTCGACAAACCTTTCTAAGTCTTGCTCGAAAGCTTCATCAAATATATTGTCTGAATATGACTGTTTAAGTATGCACAAAAACATAACTATCTTCAGAATGTCCCTCATTATCATGATGAAAAAAATAAACAAGTATTTATCTCAAAGAAAAAAAATCGCGTCGAAATCCCTTTCCGTATTTAAAATAAAATTAGAAAATCATTCAATCAACCATGCCACTAAGTACTACGACGATGAAAGTTGTTTTACAGTGAAGTACAATGTAAACAAACAAGTTTTGATCCACTAAGATTTGTACTCTAATCTACAATAAGATTTTAGCCTGTCTGTACTCTTGTTATTCATCAGCATTCTAAATCACGTGTTTTCTCTAAACTACTTGATCTCGAATAAAAAAGGTACATCAGGCGCTTTCAAAATAACGTTATCATAAGTTTGAAGTGCTAATAGTAGCATGGTATCGTACGATAACCTCACTGACAACGGTGTTATTTATTATGAAACGAGTTTATTTGTGACTAGTATACATCTATACATTACAATATATAAACACGAGTGGTTTCTCATATCCTCCGTACTGAATGGACTGCAAATTCATCTTTACATCAAATAACGTTCACACTGGTTTGAAAAAACTATTTTTTTACATTTCAAAATACAAAAAAAGCGTTACGAACGGTTTAAGATGCGGTGTGTTCTCATTATGTTGATAATATATAAAAAAGAGCGGGTTCTCATCGCCTCCGTACTGAACTAACTGAAAATTCATCTATACATCGAATAACGTTAAAACTGGTTTGAAAAGTGGTTAACTATTCCATTATACTTCAAAATACAAAACAGCGTTACGAACTGTTTAATATGCGATGTATTCTCATTATGTTGACAATATATATAAACAAAACGAGCGGGTTCTCATCGTCTTCGTATTGAACTAACTGCAAATTCATCTTTACATCAAATAACGTTCAAAACTGGTTTGAAAAGTTCTATACTTTTCCATTTTACTTCGAAATACAATAAAGGCGTTACCAACGGTTCACGATGTGGTGCATTCTCATTATGTTTTAACCGATTTTCAAATGGAAAGCATAGTTATTAGCTTCAATTTGGTAAATGTACGAAAAGTATGGCTTAATTTGTCTTTTTACAAGAGAGATTTGAACTAAGCGTTCACTGAACCATCTCCATCAACTGGGATAACGCATATTGTAGGTCTTTCTGTGATATCTTATCATTTTCGGCTGAATTATGGCCCTGTTGCGCAATAATTTTGCACTATGGAATGACACTCTTGGAAAAACTTTTCTGACCATTTTTCTCTAATGATTTTAGTCAAGTTACACAGAAATTTTTATAAATGCCTTCAATCATTGTGCTGGATTATACTATTTTTTGTTATTTATTTTGTTGATAATTTATGGTCTTCTGGTTTGTTATTTGTTGTAGTTGTTTTTTACAATACATACTTAATACTTAAGGACATACTTTTCAAAACACACATAGCCACTTCTTTGTCCACTTGTCTGTATTCATTTAGGATTTATTGCTATTTTGCAAAAATAATTAGCAATTATATGTTGCATAATCTAGTTTGCTCCTTTTCAACTAAAATAACGTTGTTTGCTAATATACTCGAAACTGTTTGAACAGATTATTATTTTGGATTTCAAGATGATTTAAATGTTTACAAACAAAGAATTCGTATCATGTTTTCCCATCGTAAGGTTGTAAAATACAGAATTTATGATTAATATGTTTACAATATTTTAGATTTACCAACTGATACATTTTTATTAGCCGTATTAAATATTCGATTGCCGTCTACTTGATCTAGATCATGTCTAATCTAGCCATCATACACGTGTGTTCATCATCGTGCAATCGCACAATCATTAAAGATAATATCTGCCTTGCGTTGCAGTTTGGATCGGAATATCCGTCCAATCGTAACACGCCCATTGGGCGATGAACGAGGCTTGTCGCCTATTGCATTCACTATTTCAACTTCACAAATTCAATATTTCAACTTTACGAATTCACGATGTCAACGTCATGAAGTTGAAATCATGAATTCGTAAAAATGAAATCGGGAATTGATGAAGCTGAAATAGGCAATTCATGAAGTTGAATTGTCCCCGGTGGTCTTTCGTAGAAAAATGATAACGACACTGTAAGGTGCTTCAAACAGTAAAGCTGGAAAGTCGCCCTATAACCTATACTATAAAGGCGCAACGTAAAACTTAATGATGATTTTGATTGTAATGATGATTAAAGAATAAATTTAGCTGACACCAAATAATGTAAGTTGGAAGTCTGTTTTTTCTTGTTGACGGCGTTGCTTATTTTCACACCTTTATACGTCGAGGAGGCACATCATTTCTTATACCGACGAATAAAGCTCCCGGGGAGAGCTAATGCGTTACTGCGCAACGGGTAAATCTCAACGGGTTTCTGTATTCGCCGATATCTGTACGCAAAGAAGCAATGCTAATTACCATATAAAACGTACCTGAAACACACTGTATTTGCTTACTTTAAGAAATTTGTGACACAAGTTGTTTGGAAAATATGAAAAGTTCACCGAAATCACAATAATAAAGTTTTTGAGATTTTTTTCACTTATCAACTAGTTTAAATTAATATTTTCTTATCATTTCATTATGTAAAATAAAATGTATTTTCTTTGCCATAATGAGAGAAAAGGTGAAGGACTCTCGCTCCTCGGTATTTCTGTTCATCGGTCATATTTTAATGCGTTTTTTGGTGTGTTTAACATATTAAATATTTTGTGTATATATTAGTTGTATAATACTCGTATTAGTATTATAAAGCATGGATCTTGATTTTTTTTTTTCAGTTTAATTATAAATAATTTCCCAACAGCTATTTTATTGTCTTCAGTACTGGCATTCATTCAGTATTTCATTCGTTACGGTAACAAATCTAACAACTATAAATCAAGACTTAATACGTGACATAAAATGGTATTTGTGGTACACTTTTGTCCAACTTACTTAAAGTTTGAAAAATGTCTTCAAATCGTTTGCATGTTTATCAGCAGTTAGTTTCACTGTTTGATATACCAGAAAATTGCATGTTGATTATGTTAATAAATATATACCTGATACAATATCTCTTTTCATGTAGAAATATTTCCAATTTTCCTCTCTTGTGTGCATGTTGCATGCAAGCATACATTAGTGAATAACTTTGGCATGTAAAATTTCAATTTTTCTTTCAAAATTGTTATGTGTAGAAAAAAACAAAATAAGCTCAAGAAATAACTTTTTTCACGTATATTGTATGTCAATATTCTATTATAGCCAGAGGAAATTTTATACTTGCTTTTCTTTTACTTTATCCTTCGTTTTGAATTGCCTCCGTTGCGAGCAATTTTATAAATATAAAAAGGACAATGGAGCATAGAGTCTACACATCGGCTGTAGCCATTTCAGATGCGGATCATTCCCTACAAAGCTTCACATCATACGATTGAAGGATGTTGTCTGTCTAAGCTGGCCGATTACAATTTCTCATGTGCGGTATTCCTTTTTTTTCTCAATGGAAAGCAAATAATATCGCCATCAAGCGGTCTGATTGGTATAATTGAAATTCAATTTTATTTTCTAGGAATCATGGCTTTTTTACGATAATCGGATAACTCTTCTCGTTGACAACATTTCTTACGGGGGTTAAACAAAATTATCACAAAAGTCACTTCATTTAATACCTTGGAGCATAGTGTCAGGGAATTTATGATTTAACAATTTCTTATTTATCTCTATTTCTCTTGTTTCTAGTTGTCAAATATATAGTACATTATTCTTTTCTTTGAGCATTTCAAATTTACATAAAATGCCTTGAAAAAGAATATGTATATATATATATAGTTGATATTTAAATGAGTTGGTTCTCAGACTGCTCAAGTTTTTCCATAAATACAGTCATCGAGTGGTATAATATAAAAATATTCCACGAATGGAGTGAGCTACAAGTAAAATATGATAATTTTCGTACCAAAAGATGAAAATATACCCTGTATGTATAGAAAACAACTGGAATTTTCTGGGTTTTTTTTTTTTTTTTTTTTTTTTTGATAGACACTTTTCTCTTTTTGACCTTACAATTCTTAAGAATTCTGCTTAAATTTTGTGTATTGCCCGAATTAAGAGGTAAATAGTCCGGCAAGTTACCAGTGAAAAACGGAAAATATATTTTTTGAAGTGAAAAATATTTTTAACAGTAACAATACGGAAAATAAAAATACGCATTTTATTTTATAAATAGTTCTCAAAATTTCATTTATAAGTTCACAATGGTGGAGTTTATATGTGGTTGAGATTCTTGCCTCAACCCCACCCTTTTTGGAGGAGGCGGAGGGGAAGGGGAAGGAGTCTTGAGGTGGGGCGAGGTGGGATGTTGACTTTGTTTTGATTTTTTTCTTCTTATAATCTTTCAAATATGTAATGCTTGTATATACAGAAACACATTCCTTATTTCTTAGCACAAGTTAACTTAACAGGTAAGCATTTCCTTGGTTTTGTTAGTTTTTTTTTCAAAACTATGATTCCTCTTTCAGACTTTTTTAAGGTAAAATTGCAATTATCATTGTTAACTTGGTATCAAAGTTTTTTATGCTGTTATACTTAATAATTGATTTAAAGAGTCTACTTAACAAGTTTGTTTTCTTTTCAACAAGATTTTTTTTTGTAATGGTTTTATGTCTGTCAATGAAATAATAAAGATTAATAATGTTAAGATTTTATGACTTTTGGAGCAACGTTATAAATGAATCTGATAGCGCAAAACCAGAAACAACTAATTGAAAATGAACTCTAGACTTTTGAACATAAAATTGTCTTTGATTTGACAATGAGTGAGACAATACCAAACAACGAGTTAGTGTCATATTTAACTTTTGAATCATAGTAATATTTTCGATAATAATTCGACTGTTTCGGAAGCGAGGCCGTTGCTGGAACCCATCAGTACTAAGCAACGAGTATAAAGGTTTTCCTAAAAAAATGACCACTTGTCCTTGACAAGGTTTGAATTATACTTGTTATTCCCTGTCTGATGAGTCACTTAAGGCTTGCTTGAACAAAAGTGGCATAATGATATAAACATTGCGTCCCGCTGTTACCGTTATAAAATTTTTAAGAGTCCATTAAACATTATCTTTATCCATTAACACATGGTAATGTTTCGGAGTTTCTGTCGTAAAATAACGATTGAAATGGGAAAACAAAAAAAATGTACCACTTCATGAAAGAATATGTTCAGTTTGTTTTAATCAAAGTAATGCATCTGCTATTTATTCTGAATTTCCTGACTGTTTTTAATGTTCTAAGTAGAATGATATTCGAACTAGTTATCTCCACATTTGGTATTCAAATTGAACAACAATTAATGATTTTTATTTGCTAATTAAATTATCTGTGTTTGTATTTACCTGGTTGAAATGTACGAACTCTTGACTTATTTTATTCTAATCTTATGTTGTGCGACTAAATCAACATTTTATACATGTATATCATATTGTACTTGAACGCCAAACAATCCCTGAAGCATGAAAATATAACAGCATTGATTGTATGTACGGGGAGAAAATTTACGGCCGCCACGCGGCACAGACAACAAGGTTGTGAGATTGAAATATGATAAACAAGATCATCAAAGACTATTCCGTTCATTCAACAGTTGGACGGGCCTGTCAACATAAAACATTGGATACGATATCACAGTGATGTGCTTGCATTTAATAAAGTAGTCTAATCTTCAAGTAATATATCATGGTTATTATACAAAACTAACTAATATTATCCTAAGTTTTTATGCATGCAGTAGTAAAAATAGTAGTTGTAGTAGTAGTGGTGGCAGTTAGTGGCAAAAGTAGTTAGTGGAAGTAGTGGTCAGTGGTAGTACTTGTGGTAGTGATGGTAGTACTTAAAGGTGGTGAAGGTGGTTTGTTTTTTTGGTAGTAGTGGAAGTTGTGGTAGTAGTATTTAGTGTTGGTTATGATATTAGTTGTGGTAGTGGTAGTAGTTTGGTAGAGGTAGTAGTTGTGGTAGAGGTAGTAGTTGTGGCAGAGGTTGTAATTGTGGTAAATGTAGTAATTGTTAATGGTAGTGGTTGTTGATGTGGTAGTAGTTGTGTTAGAGGTACATGTAGAAGTTGTTGTAGAGTAAGTGGTAGTAGTTGTGGTAGTGGTAGTTGTTGTGGAAGTTGTTGTTGTTGTAGAAGTAGTAGGAGTTGTAGTTTGTAGTAGTTGAAGTAGTAGTTACTAAGCAGTAGTTAGAAGTAGTAGTTAGTAATAGAAGTGGTGGTGGTGGTGATGATAGTGGTTGTTGTTGTTGTTGTTGTGGTGGTGGTGGTAATGGTAGTGGTAATAGCAGCAGTCTCTTTTTGCCACTTTAAGCGTTTTAAACTTTGAATTATCACTCTATTTAATGAATCTAACATTCTTTATGATTTCATGTACAATTTATATGCTAACAAGTTTGTCCTATACACAACGTCTTTAGTTACATTTTGGGAGCTACGTGTCATATAATATACATGCATGAATATTAATGCACAAACATTTGAGGACAATATTTAAACACACCCAAAATTTAACTTCTAAATTCATTTTAAAACTTTAAATGAATTATTTCTAAAACGTATTTCCCCCATGTTACGGATAGTGATTGATATGTTTAATGTAATAAAAACCTTCTTTATCATATAGTTGTTCCTAGCCTGCATAAAATTGTAATCTTTACTTCAATCGTCCATGACAAAAAATGTCATATCCGTCTTTCCACCACATCTTAAATAAATATTGATGGTGTTAGTGATTTATTTTTTGTTGTTTGTGGATTTTCTTTTATTTAAAAACAGGATATGCTTTTTTTTCTTTTTTGTTGATACTCGGTTTTTTGATATTCTTGGTGTCAAAAAAAAATATTAATTTTGAAATCTTAAATACGACAGCTACAAAAATACATAAACTTTAAATTACATGTCATTTACGTTTTGAAGGCTTAATGATATAATTTTAACGCAAAATGGGCATAATGCAATTATGAAATTCCTCCTTTTAATTATTAGATAAGCAAAACACAATATTTCTATAATATTATTTCAATTTACTGATATATTTCACCACGTGAAATTAAAGTCCATTGTTATTCATGAAGGATTTAACAAATTTGTATTTTTCTAATTATTTCTTAATGTTATCAATATTCCTGCCATGTTTCAATCAACTGCTTTAAGTGTAAACATTTTGTTTTTGTAATACTATTTGTTCGTTAGCTCGTATGGATTCAGTATTTTGATCCGGTTTTCGATCACACATTTTTAAATGATTTTAAAAAAAGGAATTAGACTTGTCTTAACCTTTCCAATGTATTTTCAAGGTAAGGCATACCGCTCTAGCCGGTGCTAGGGGGCGTGAGTCATGTTGCAATTATTCATTATATCTCGTGTGCAGACTAAATTAAACCGAGTCTGCAATTTCTTATGTAATTTTGTTGTAATTAATGCTTCCGACGGATCACTTTGTTTCCAGATTTTTTACCCACTATCGCAATACCTGCTAACTGCCGTGAACGATGATTTCGTCGAACACTTATGTTCTAAATGATGCTTTTTCAGCTCAAGTTCAACATTTAATCTATAAATTGCGAAGAAAATGTGTTCTGTACGTCAACCATTTTGTAATATTTTAATGTATTTGTAGAATTTACATTTCACCAAAAAATGGTCTTAGTACTCGCAGATTGGTGTGTTAGCCATAATAATAGTCCAGAGGTTCCTTGTGAAAGGCAATATATAAGGCACATAACTCTACACCAAGAAAAATAGCAGCCAAAGGTCCGAAAAGCATGTTCGCTTATTCGGTTGGCGATTTTTTTTCTGTAAATAGAGTTTTCGATTTTTTTTCAAATGTTGTGAATTAGCCCTAACCATAGTTTGAAGTTTCATGTGTTGCATCTAGCTCAAGCCAAAGGAAATAATCGCCAGAGCATGCATGTCATGGCCGCTTTTTCAGTTTGTTATTTGTTCTTATTGTTTATAAATTATTCCAAATTTCGAAAAAAACGCAATTTTGCAACATAAGAAACATAGCTCTACCCCTTCGAAAAACGCAGAGAGTGCCCCCCCCCCCCCCATGGTATGGTCGATTTGATCGTTATATTTTTTAAATACTATACAAAGTCTTTGATTTTTTTTAATGGACTGTTTTCTACAACTCACCGTTAGAAAACCATTGGTATCATTTCTTTGAATCTTAACGATTACTTTAGTTTAGAGGTTCATAATTTCTATTTGAAATTCTCGGCTTGAGTGTATCGTTTTGTCGCTTCTGTGTGTCGTTTCGTCGCTTACAATGAACCAAAAGGAACACCGAAGGTTTTTATTGATATTGATTTACTATACGTGCTTTCTCAAGCTGGCACTTTGACCATCGAAGACACGACAAACAAAGGGCGCGGACACGAAAGATTTCGCCCCGCCGACATGAAAACTTTGTTTTCGTTCCCTCGCGTGTTAAAGTTTCGTAATTTCGCCTAGAATGTTTCGATCGTGTGTTTGTGTCTTCGCCCCGAAAGGCGAAAGTCGAAATAACGACAAATAGGTATGTTTTTGTGTCTTCGCATTTCGATTTTCGGGGCGAAGACACGAAAACACAAAATGGCGGAAATTAGCCACCATAGTGTTCCCTTGTTTCAATGTTTCAAAAATAAATCTTATGAATAATCACGTTGTTGTGCGATGCTAGAATGCTCTACTGCTCAAGAAGGAAGTGCACGCGTCAAACCGGATGTGTACTCTACGGTGACGACAAAAGAAATAAGATAAAAATACTGCATTGTACATTTGTAAGCCACAGATTTTTAAATTTGATTAACAACATAGCTTTGGTATTTAAAATAGATTTTTAAAAGTTGTATGTTTCTTAAGAAGAAGCAACATTTTTGCTTTTTGACATTCCGAGCATGTCACGTCAAATATGAAAATCAACTCTCATGGGTTATCGGTCCCTATATTTTCAAATTCTGTTAAATTTGTTTATCAGTTGAACATTTAGAATTCGTAAAACACTCTAATAATTGTTTATAATTTGAGTTTCATAACTTACCAACATATTTACATAAACAGTATAATGAATCCTGATTTTGCCATTTTGATACAGATTACATACTGAGTAATTCGAAGGAGCAGTCTTAAGACCCTTGTATTTAGTAAACATAAGTATAAAGTAGAATCAACCCAACTGAGAGTCGCATTATACAAACTTGATTTTGGCATTTTATACACGCAAAAATACATATGACTTAAGTAGTGCGAACACCGTTATTGACAAAGTCATAATTGATTAAAATTATTAATTTTATTATTTGAGTGTGCACACATTATTCTTTGATAAATTATATTACCGGTAAATTATATATTATTAACTTTATATTGTTTTTAAAAATGGCTAATATGGCGATATTATGAAAAACATATTAAATAAGCAAACATAAAAAAATGATTGTCCTTAAATCTGAAATGCAAAAAAATGAACAAAACTTTGCTTTGTTTTGTAAACATACATATCATTTGTCATGCAATCTTTACCCTGGTTGGCTATAAAGAGAGTTTATTGTCCATCGTATCTCACATTGTTTAATAAAGTCCTTTGTGTGCGGTCGATTTGCAGCAGAAGATGCAACAATCATGGTATGTGATATTATTCTTTCTTCAAACATATTTATTGAATATTTTTCATACGCCAGTAAACATATGAGAGCAATTTAATTAAAATTTGACAACACAAGTTGCGAATTAATTTGTCTTTGTAATAAGTTTGTTGTTGTTATGTTGTTATTTCGTCTTTTAAATGATATTTTGCTGTTGTTAATAATAGCGTAGTTCTAAATACTTAATGTTTATAAATTTTTCCGCTCAATTTCAAGGTCAATTAATTTCCTATTTCAGAGAGTGACGCTATTTACTGTGGCCATTCTATTGGCCTGTTGTATGTACACTGAAGCCTGGAGAAGCAATCGGCGGACCTATAAGCCTAGACCAAGACCACCAGACCCACGCCCTATTTCTCGTAGTCTAAGACCGGGCCCTACTTTTCCAGGCCGGCGTTACAAAAGAAGTGACGATCAAGTAAGAATTCAAATGTCTCATAAGAATTATTTTCTTACATTATGAATTAAATTTGAGTCGCATTTTCTGATAAAATGATACAACGAATGAAATAAATTATTTAAATTTTATGAAACATTGAATAAATTTCAAAAGTTACCATACGGACGATTTGTGCAATTCATTTATTTCGTGCGAGATGCGCAACGGTCACTGAAATCGATTTAAAAATTACTTTCAGTCAATAAAATTTTCTTTTAAATAAGCAAAAATTAATTTCAAGCGGTTACATCTTTACTAGTATAAATATCATTGATTTGCTGTTTCAAACTTGTCTGTATGCAAAATACAATCGTTAACTTTGTTGTTGTTGTCATTGTAAAAAGTGATAGTTTCAGCAGCAACAGCAGCATGCTATTGTTGTTTTTGTGGGGTTTTTTTTCTGCTGCTGAAGTAGCATCAGAAGCAGTAGTAGTTATAATCATAACACATTACTTGCAACACTCTTAAATTATGTAATACTAAGTTATTCGTATGGTACATTAGGTATGTTATTAATTACAGCATGAAGAACAACTGTACAATGTTGAACTTCAAGCTAATCCATGTGACTTTATAACATACGATGTTGATGGAAATGGCGAAATAGCTCTCAAAGAATTGCATGCTATCCTTGGTGACAACAAAATGGTACTAAATCTTTTCCTGGACCTTGATTATAATGGTTTGTACTTTTTTATTAATATTATATATTTACTATTTGAGTAGCTTACAATTTTTGCAATGGCTTTTAGAATTAAAACACAAAGATTAGCATGGGGTTTGTTAAGTGGTCTGTACTATTTTAGGATATATTTATTTTCACTGCGACGAATTGCATTGTTGTTCACCATCGTGCTTAAAGGTTAAATGTTTGCTTCACGTCAGTTTTTGAAAAGTTAAAGAACACAGTTTTTGAAAAATTAAACACAAATTCTTTAAATATTTCATTAAATGAAATATCATTTCAGATTAATCATGTAAATAGACACGCGTTTTAATATCGTTTACCAAGTAAGTAAAATCCTCTTAAACCAAACGTATGTATTACATATAAGACACTCAGTTATCATTTGGTTAACATATTTCACTTTTGTCTTATTTTAGAAAATGGAGTTATTGAAGCAGAAGAATTCGATGAGCAAGCTCCTCAGTTCATTAGAGCATGTGCTGACCTTGACACAGATAATGATCTGGACACAGTTGATTAGGATTAATGAATTTCAAAGTGTTTTCTTTAATTTGACTATAGAACATTTGAACCGACATACCTTTTCTATAGTTCCTTTATTTTAATATTCTTTTGTACAAGGCTTTTGGAACAGCATTGTTTTCAATTACTCTAATTATGTCTGTATTACATGTATTACCCGAGTTGTAAGAGTCTTCTTTTTTGATAATATGTATGAATGTGATGCATTGATTAAACAAAAGGAAATACTCAATTATGTTTTTCCTTTTTTTTTAATAATATTTGAAATTTTATACAATGCCGTGCTAATCATAAATAGGGAATTTATATTCCTTTCTGCTTTTATTTATTCTTAACATCCTGCCTGCGTTTTCCAGAGAGTCCTAAGTGATAGTCATAGGACGTAAGACTATTTATTGGACTAACGTGTGACTGTTTAAATAATTTAACAGTTAAACAATTAAAAAGTCAAATACTTTAGAATTAAAATAAACCTCATAGTACAATGACAATCGTTTTAATTTCGCAATATGATAAATTAATATTAACCTGCATAGCTATTCAGGAAAACAAGAGGTCATAACATAGGAATTAAAGGTTAGGACATTTAGTCAATTTTAGCCGCCTTGCTACTCGGCATTATTTTTCCATAATGGGCGAGTGAATGAGCGCACGTGCAGAAAGACGTAATAAGAAAAAACGAGAATAAAAATCAACAAGGCAAAGGCAACGTTTACAGGAAGCAGTGATTCTCAGTCTGCTAACGTTGAATGAACTGTATAGTCACTTGTACATTTTTTAAAGTTTAAATGACATAAATAATCACAATCATCAAAGCTTAACATTGAAGATTTATAAACTTAAGACAATACATGACCCTCAGAAATTCCAAAAATGATTTCAGATTGACGGTAGGAAAAGACCGGATCGTTCGCATTTAGACCTAGACATCAGTCTTGAAGACACAACACTTCTTTAAAAACTGACACTAGATCTAAATGTAATTCTCACAAACAATGTAGAGAAGGATTTTGAATTTGCCGATAAAAACATTTTTGTTTTTAATATTTATTTTGTGCTGTCTTGTTTTCTTAGTTAATCGGAGTGTTATGACAGATATTTGTTTACATTGACAACAGTCCGTTTCCTAAAAAAGGGCGACAACCAAGATTAGCGGCGATGTCTAAACGCCGTATTTCGGACATAGGTATTAAAGGCGTTAATATTTGGTTGCTGCTGGCCTTTATGCGATAATGGCCCTCGGGTTCATAATTGCCTTCGGGCTGCGACCGTCAGGCCATTATGCACATCTTCGGGCCATTATCGCATAATGGCGAGCAGCAACCAAGTATTATACCTACATATTGGCTTAGTTTTGTTTTAAGAACTTATTCAAGACTTAAGACTTTCTATGAAACATACACTAGGTTTATAAATGACATTTCCTTGCTGTGTGTTTGTATGTTTGTCTGTCTGGTTAGTATGTTGATTTCCCCCACCAACTTATTTTGGTCATGTGTGGCGGCCGGTCCACGTACAAGTAACCAACTAACTTCAATAGTTCTCCATAAGTGGCAAACACAAGTTTGCTGAGACATAAATGATCACTCAAGACGTCATCAACTATCACGTTGCCCCGTGGATGGAGCCTTCACTCCATTGAATCTAATTTCTTGATTTTTTTTGTGTCGCAAAGAATACCGTGCAGAAACTGATTAGGAGCAAGGTTTGAGACATGAACATGCACATATCAAAATTTCAAACTTGACTGAAAGACACACTATCAACATCTAAACAATTTAATTTTAAGTCTTTGTGTTTTGGTGTTTAAACTTACATGGACCTTTCAATTGTCTTTTTGTACAAACGTGTCGGATTAAAAGTTCCATGTTCAACTTCGTATGAAAACTCTGCGAATGTTAATGCGTTAAATTTTTCCATTCAATACACATTGTGTATCTTGTTTGTATGTAAAATTGGCTACTAAAGACAGACATTTAATTCCATAATCGAAACAAGATGTCGCACTCGTACATAAAAGGGACAACACCGGTCTCCTTATACGAAAAACAAATGACGAAATGCAAAATACATAATTGAGAGACGTCTTAAATGGATATGCTTTAAATCTATTTTTTTCCATTCACATAATGAACGTGAAAACATGCAAAAAGGTTTAATATGTATCTTCTATTTCTGTGTAATATTTACAAACAACTTTTATGGACAGTTCATATCACATGACTGCATGGATCTCTCCCTTTCTATTTTCTGGGATTATGTGAGGATCATGACAAATTCAAATTGAGGGTTTTGTAATAGTGTCACGTTTGCAAACATTTTGATTTTTTTCTCTAGTAAATATTCTAGCTTAGTTTCATAGTGTTTGAATTGTAAGTACACGAAATCGAAAGATCATTTTCGATTTCACTCGCGATTTTGTTGACTGGCATATTATATATATATACATATATAAAATAGATAAGTTATGTCCGAAAAGTGTTGTGTCTGAAATCTAATTAAATGAGCAACCAACGAACAATTAAACGTTTTCTTACTCGATTCCAACTTAATATTTAGTAAACTAAGATATTTTGACAACAACAGCTTATTGAGCAAATACCGTCATGGTAGAGTTTGAGCAAATCATTATAACATCATAGAATAGGAAAAAAAAATCTTCAAAAAAACCAAAACAAGCAAATAGCAGATATCTGTCAGAACAAAAATAAGAATTTTAATTATTGTAAAATGCATTGGTTCCACATTTGGGAAACTCGTTGTATATATGAAGAATTAAATTGATAATTGCATCATTTCTATTTCTGAAGAACTTTAATCAGTATTCGAAAATTCACTATTTCATTGAAGGATATTTTTGAATACTTCCAAAATGTACTTTCACTTGATTTTTAATCAATTCGAAAAATTTTCAAATGTGATTCTTTGCGGTAAAGTGAAGGGATGAAGGTACAATATGAAAACAAGATAATTAAGGAAGGGTGGCGTTCAATAACACAACCTCCCCCCACGACCCATCAACACAGGACCACCGGAAACAAACAGTTTCCAAAGTTATAGCTTTGGACAATGATAGATAGTGAATAAAGACGAAAGAACCATTTAAGATAAAGACAATAATTTACCATGACCTTACTGTTCTCGGGAACAAATTGTAGATTGTCAAAAGAACACTGACATACTAATGCCGCTTTCTATGTAGAAATAATTAAAGCAATTCTGTAGATTAATTCTATTATTGAAACATGCAAAGGCTTTCGTTGTCAGCTGTCAGTGAATGTGGTTTTTTTAGACTTCCGAAATACACAATTGACACTGATTAGATTTGCGATATCTATTGTTGCGGAGAAACGTTTAAGAAAAGTGGTCTTCTTCAGCGTACTTGAAAAGGTATGAACGATTGTTAGTTGTTGCATTATAATGGTTAGTTTTTCAAGAATGTTTAACAATTAGAACGTTAAATAAGCTTGTTTTTTTTGTGTGTGTTTTGTTGTGTGTGTTTGGTTTTACGGCGCACCAACACAGTATAGGCCATACGATGCCGAAACTGGAAACATCATTTTGGCTTTTCTCGGGTGTAACAATCTTAACGCAAAATAACCTCGATTTCGGCAAAGAAAATTTTTTTGCTTTTTCCCATATAAAAGTATTTTTTTCAATGAAAACGTTTAAATAGTTATTGTAATTAAAGTTTTTTTTTTATTATTTTTTGGGTATTTTGTTTTTTTTTGTTATTATAAGAGCCCAACACAGACCACGTCATATGACAAATGCACAACGCCCACACAATGTCAAGGCACTTTGAATAGTGTATCTTAATGGTTGACTACTGACCAGCAAGGATTGTACTGTTTCTTTCAAACAAATATAATTCACCGGCATAACAGTAAAACAAGCATAGTGAGTCGTGATATTAGGCGTTTACATTTGCAAAAGTCAGAAGATTTGTATTTTACATTTTAAATGTTTCAGATATGTATATACATGTATTTTACATTTCAAATGTAAATAAAGTTGCCGTAGAAAATCATTCAAATCCGTTTTGTCTCGAGAAATTCCTTTTGTAATGTC